TATTTTCGGTGCTGGTATGTTTAAATCCTCATTGCTGAGTTTATGTTCTGGTCCTGGAGTCATTGATGCATTCTGTAAGTGAAGGACGTAAATATAACGCGGAGTGTCGGTATTATTTGAGTAATCATCATCATGTGTAAACATATTGCCTAAAATAAATGTATGACATCATGACATCAAGATCTTTTCAATTCAAAATTATCAGTTAGTAAGAAAATCAGCAGCTGCGGAATTCTCACCAAGCAGAATTTAACATTTTATCGACTGTATATTTAGAATAAAATTTTGTTGCTCTATATGCATGTATGAAATCGTCAGGAGTCTATCGATTGGCCAAAATTTGGTCTCCAAACATGCTGAGAGTCGTTCTTAACCAAGTGAATAGTGAAGCTTGCGGCTACTTGCTTTTTATTCTTTTTTTCTCCTCATTCTCCTTTTTTCTCTCGCTTTTGTATTTCTCTCCATAGGCACATATTACGTTTTTGTAACTTTTCTACCATTTTGCCTACACGACACGACTGTTAACATCACCCTATTAGTGCAGGTGAGCCACGTGCATCTGTGTACTTTCATTGAATTTTCATTTTTTTCGATGAACACTGTAGGTACTCACACCAATTGAATATTATTTCAATTTTTCGTTGATCACGAGACAAGTCACCAAAAATACAAAAAATAAACGTTCAGCAGGATGAGCACAAGCTGTGATGACGACATAGCGCCACGCAAAATCGAAAGAGTCGAAGGTATGATCATCGAGCGCGACATCGGCATCAAGATGAAGGATAGTTTAGTACTAAGAGCTGACGTTTACCGGCCGAATACTAACGAGCGGGTTCCGGTCGTTATGACACATGGTCCGTATGGAAAAGGTATTGCTTGGTCTCAACCCAATAATCCATCATTTCCGCAGTGGAATGCAATGTGCAAAGAACGACCAGAGATTTTCGACGGATCTAGTTGCAAGTACATTACATGGGAAACCGTCGATCCCGAGAGATGGACTGCCTGGGGTTATGCAGTCGTACGTGTTGACAGCAGAGGGAACAATAGATCGCCCGGTCTCCAAAACATCTTCTCTCAACAGGAGGTGATGGATTATTATATTGTATCGAGTGGGCCGGCACACGTGATTGGAGCACTGGCAAAGTCGGTTTATGTGGCATCTCCTATTATGCTATAAACCAATGGCAAGTTGCTGCTCTACAACCACCGCATCTCGTCGCGATGATACCTTGGGAGGGTGCCAGCGATATTTATCGCGAGATCTATCGGCACGGTGGTATCTTAAGCAACTATTTCATTAACTATTTGTACAACATCGTTATCGTCAATCAGCACGGCAAAGGCACACACATGGATCATTGGTTGGGTGAATCTTCGAGTGGGCCAGAAAAGCTATCCGAACAGGAGCTTGCCAAAAACAGAGTAGACCCTCTCGAAAGTCCTAGAAACGAGCACATCATCGACGGAGAACATTATGTGAGCAGACAAGCTGATTTTAGCAAAATCAATGTTCCACTGCTGTCATGTGCTTCTTGGGCCGGATTTGGTCTACATCAACGTGGAAATTTTGAAGGGTTCTTGCAATCAGCTAGCGAGCAAAAGTGGTTGGAAGTCCATCCCGGGAAACATAAAGAGTGGTTCTACCTACCTGCTGGGTACCAACTTCAAAAGCGGTTCTTCGATCGTTTCTTGAAAGGTGAAGCTAATGGAATGGACCAGGAACCTAGAGTGTTGCTCAACATAAGATATCCGGGGGAGAGGTTTGTCTTGCGCAAAGAGAACGAGTGGCCACTAAGCAGAACACAATGGACAAAGTTCTACCTTGACGCTAGTAACATGTCCTTGAGTACGTGTCCTTCGCTCTCTGCAGCAGAATGTAGTTTCTCTGCATTGACTAGTGCAGGTGCAGTGTTTAATTCGGCTGGTCTCGAACAGGAGTATGAGATCACCGGTCCTATAGCAGCTCGCATTCGACTGACTTCTAGTACCAAGGATGCTGACTTGTTCTTAACTTTGCGAGCGTTCGATCCAAGTGAAAAAGAAATCGTGTTTCACGGTACCGTAGATCCTCGATCTGTTTTGTCTCAGGGTTGTCTGCGAGCTTCTCATCGTGCATTGGATAGCGAGAAGACACTGCCCTACAGGCCGTACCATTCGCATATGAAACAAGAGTTTCTCAGTCCTGGACAACAGTACGATTTGGACATTGAGATGTGGCCTACATGCATCGTTCTGTCCAAGGGATCAACTCTACAGTTAGTGATCGATGGAAAGGATTTCGCTAGACAGGAGAACGAAGTCATTGTGCGAGGACCGTTAAGACTCGCCGGAAGTGGATGTTTTTTGCACGACGATCCGGTTGATCGTGACGAAAAAGTGTATGGTGGAGAGACCAAGGTTATCACTAGTGAAGACTCCTGGCTTCTGCTTCCCATTGTGCCAAAAGAATAAACACACACGTTGTTAGTATCAACAATGTTACAACTATCTCCGCTAACTCTGTGCTAACTAGACTTTCTTCTCATTCTTGTGCATCTGCTTCTTTTCGTTTTCTGTCCCTCTTAGTTTTATTGTGATTTGTCTTTTTTCCGTTCTCTTTTTGTTTTCCCGCGGACTATCCATTTTTCTCTACCTTCATTTATTAATAATCTTCTTCTCTCTATCTTCTTTTATTGATTCTTCATTCTTTCCTCAATAAAAATCATCAGTACCATCTCGTTTCCTTCAGTATCCACACTCGTAGGAACGGTAACAAAGCTTTTAGTGAGAACCTTTCTTTTCTTCGAGAACTAAGACAAAATATATTCCGATGATATAAATATCGCTATTTATATTAATCGGCTAAGCTTTATCAGACACGCATCTCTACTTATATTTTTTGCTAGCCATCGATTAGTTTTACCCTTAAGTTTATAATCATACAGAGAGGGTGAGGAGGTGAGGGTGAGTTTTATAAAAAGATTCAAAGCATATTATACGACCGGTTTCGTCCTTGCGTAAGGGACTCATCAGGTATGTTAAGAATCAGAAACAACTACATTAATAAAAATTCAAACCAAAAATTTTGAACAAATAAAATCATAACAATACAGATGTAATGTATTATATGATCTTAAATAAAATTCGAAAAATAGAAAGGTTTAGTTTTAAGTCGGAACAAGTGTTATAAGTTTCAGTTTCGTAGAAAATCTCAAAAGGAAAGTTAAGGTCAGGTGTGTTTACTATTGGAAAATATATAGATGACTGACTTGAATGATTTAATGTTGTAGTTTTTGGTTTAAGGTCTTTGAGGAATTTTAAGTTTCTTCGGTGAATCTGCTGAAGAAAAATAATTGGTTTTGAAACGTAGTATTTTGAATATTTACCTTATTTGGGTTTGACTTGATTATTTAACCTGGAGAAGCCGCAAGTAGAATTGTTGATTTGAACTCTATTTTTTGTGAAGTAGATAATATAAACAGAGGAATGTCTCGATATGTATGGGACTATACACCATATCTGTATGTTAAAAAACTTTGTAAGTCTTGATAATTCCGATGAGAATTTTCTATCGGAATGACATCATTCGAATAACTTCTCTTCTTGTTCTCAGGATTGTTCAATATATTGTTCAAGTATTGAGACTATACGTATATCGTCATGATGATGTTTAAACTAAACTTTGAATGAAATGAACATTTAGTGTCCGCATAAGGTTATTTATTACATTTTTTTTGTCGGAATTGTTCAGGATAGTTGAATATCGCATGCACTTGTAGCGTTGATGATGAGATCGTTGTATCATTTCATAATCTGTAGATTCAAGTCGTAAAAAAAAAGAGAAGAAAATAGAATAATTCATGTCGTTTTCTTTACAGAAAATTTCATATTCGCCATACAGCGATTCATATTCTCAGTTAATATACTGAAATCGTATTTTTTTTGATAAACTTACTTTAGCCGAATGAATATTGATCACCTATGAAGAAGAACAAAAGGCATT